ACTTGAAAAGATTGCAGATGGTGTTGGTGCTTTTCTGATGATGGATATGGCTCATATTAGTGGACTTGTTGCTGCTTCTGTGGTTGGGAATCCTTTTGATTATTGTGATATTGTCACTACCACAACACACAAGGTAGGTAATAATTATATTTTTGCTTCTGACTCAGTTGATAAAAAAAATTCCTAGTTTTACTTTTTAGTGATAAAAATGGTAATTTATTTCTTCTTATTGTTGAACAATAATATAGCAGACTACTATTGTCCTAGGATAGTGTTTAGTAGTGATAGAATCAGGGAAGGAATGGAATGGTTCATCCCATACCTGTTTGTGTTGTTTGGTGGAATGGAATGGACCATTCTTCCATTTTCTTGGTTTTCATTTTTTACTCATGGGGTGTTCTTTTGTCATTCCATCATTGTAGTATAACCCATTTTTATTTATGATTTTTAACGACACATTTAAAAAAAGCAATTAAGTTTCAATTTTATTGTCTATAAGTAACTAGAAATATATTATCTATTGTAATCTTACTTGGGTTTTAATGTAAGGTTTTTTTTTTTTTTTTTTTTTCTCTAAATAAAAATTCATAAATCACTATTTAATAGTGTATATATAGGCCACACATTATATTTAAATATAGTGCAAAATACCCAAAAAAACAACTTATTTTATCGATTTAACCACTTAACTATTTTCTGTAGTGTTTTTTAATCGTTTAACAAAACCATTTTTCCAGTTACCTCAGGGACAAAATACAGAAAAGTGCAAGTATTATATTTATATGATATGATTATGATGATAATAGTTGAGTGGATAAAATGTTGAAAGTACGTTGTGTTTTGCTGTTACACGTGATACAAAAACATGATATAAAAGTTGCTTATTCCATTCCATCATCTTTCCAGTCTCTGAGAGGGCCAAGAGGCGGCATGATATTCTTCAAGAAAGATCCTGTTTTAGGCATCGAATTAGAATCCGCCATCAATAATGCTGTTTTCCCAGGTTTGCAGGTTAGTTCCACTCTGTTTCCTTTTTTTTTCCAACATTCTCATTAATCTTTAAAAAAAATAATAATAATAATTAAAAAAAAAACTTAAACAGGGTGGTCCACATAACCATACAATAGGAGGACTTGCAGTTTGCCTGAAGCATGCTCAGTCTCCAGAGTTCAAGGCCTACCAGAACCAGGTCTTTTTCTTTACATTTTATCATTTAATCTTTTCAATAACATAACATAACATAACATGACATGTGTTGGTTGCAGGTGGTTTCTAATTGTCGAGCTCTTGCTAAAAGATTGATGGAGTTGGGCTACACATTGGTTTCTGGTGGAAGTGATAACCACTTGGTTCTTGTGGATCTCAGGCCATTAGTAAGTTTTCTCTTTGAAAATAATAAATGAGGCTAAACTTGTAAAAACTTGGTTTCTGACTTCCTTTGATAACTCCTTTCTGTATCAAGTCAAAAAGAAACACCCACACTCATATATAGTTTACTGGATTAATTCTATTCCTCATAAGTACCATTGAAAATGTAAGATATTGCTTATTATAGCATCCTACTTTGAAAATTTTATCCAATTTCTTTAAAAAAAATCGAGATTACAATGTTGAATTTTTAATAAGAAAAAAAAAGAAAAAGTAATAGAAAGAACAGAAAGTAGGATAAAAATAAATAACTATTTCTTGTATTTAACCCTAACCCTAACACAAATTGAATAAATGCAGGGTCTTGATGGTGCTAGGGTAGAGAAAGTTCTAGACATGGCTTCCATCACCTTGAACAAGAACTCCGTACCTGGTATATTTTTTTGTATTTCCTCCTCCAACTTTGATCTTATTTACAAAACAACCCCTGAGGTGTAAAAGAAAAAGAAATGGTCAAGGGCTTGAGTCTTAGTACTAACATTGTTTTGATTTAAATGTTATAGGTGACAAAAGCGCACTGGTGCCAGGTGGCATACGGATCGGGTCGCCCGCTATGACGACACGTGGGTTCACGGAAAAGGAATTTGTTAATATTGCTGAGTTTATTCACGAAGGGGTGCAACTCACACGTGAGATAAAAAGGCTGTGACAAGTGGGTCAAAAGTACAAGATTTTATCAAGTATGTAGCTTCTTCGGATTTTGGTTTCACCAGTCAAGTTTCGGATCTGAGAAAGAGAGTTGAGGCACTCACAACTCAATTCCCGATCCCCGGTTTGTAAAAATTGTCTTGTTTTAGGAAAAATGTCATAAATTGAGTAAGGCTGTCACTAGTTGGATGTGTTGGTTTTTTTTAAGAATGTTGAGATGTTTTTTATCAAAAGATTTTGTAACTGAAAAGGAGGCTCATGTTGTGGGTATTGGTTGGTCCTAAGTAGACCTGGTAAACGTATCATGTCATGACAGGTTGAAAAAATATGACACTAACCTTACATTGTGTCTAACTTGTTTATTTAAACATATTGAAATCTTTTACCAAAACCTGTTTATTTTGGGTTAGAATGTCATTGTTAGTTTTTGTCTAACTCTGAGTTCTAAGTGATCTTGTTACCGGGGGTTTGAAAAGAGTCTAGTTCCGAATTTACCAAAATTGGGCTGATGGTCTGGCCGGTTCGGTCTTTATTTGTCCAGGGTTAAGAGTTTGTAAATTAATAGGATAAGGTATACTTTAGTTATATACTATTATTAATATCTTTTAATAAGCGTTACTTTTGGAATTAACCTAGGGACGGTTGTATTTCATGTAGACTTGTCAATGGGACGTGTTTGGAGCGAATCATCCTTAACCCAAACCCTTTAAAATAATAAAAACACGACCCCTTCTACTCCAATAATCATTGGGGTTTTGAATAGTCGAATCCATACCCGTATCTACAGAATCAACAAATACCAACCCATAAACCTGGTCCTTTTATAATATTAAAATTTTACAATTTTTATATGTTCCATAAAGTAATATTTGTCAAAAAAAAGATAAAATGTCTGCTTAAACAAGATGTATATTATTTAATACTCAAAATCCAATACAATAAGAATCACATTTTATATTAGGGGTGAGCATTTGGACCGGACCGGCTTTTGGACCGGATCAGTCTCAGAGAATATTGTGGACAGTAGACCAGACCGGATAAAACTTACCGGGTTCGGGCCCAAGTCCGGGTTTTCTGGTTCTTGGACACGGTTGGACCGGTCCAACTTTACATGCATAAAATACAAGTCGTTAAAACGTGTTTTTTGGTTTAATATAACTCGTTAAAATGAATATCTTGTTGGGTTTGATACGTTACAACTCGTTAAAATGAATATGTTTTTGGGTTTAATATGATACAATTTGTAAAAAAGAATACGTTTTTGTTTCTTGCAGCCGTTGGACCGGTCAAACATCGATTGTTTATACCATTTGTTTGGACGTTGAATCAAATAAGTTAATGACTATCATATTTCATGCATAACTAATCTAACTTTATCTATAATATTATAACTCACAAAATTAATTTTTCAAATAAAAACACCTAACATATAAATCAAGCTTATCAATAAAAGTTAACAATCTTAACACAAAATACAAAAGTAATTACCGTAACACAAAAAATCATAGTTTAAAATTTAAAATCAATCTAACCAACAAACATCATAATGTAATCTTCCATTGACCTCTTTCTCATATCATTATCATCTAAATTTAACATGTTTAAAACTTGTGCAACCTCTACATAAACACAAAATGAAAATGTTGTTAGTTTTTAATAAAAAGTAACAATTGAAAAGTTGAAATATATCAGCTTTGAAATCCCAATTTTGAAGGATTGTAACTCATTGAATATAACACAGAAAAACAACAAAATTATAGTATAAATTCATCTACAAACTCTAAATTACATGTTGGAGAAAATCACATATCAATCCGACTTAAAAGGAATGAAATATGTTTGTTTAAAAAAGTCACAAAATACAAAATTTAAATTTCTTGCTTAAAAACTGAAATATTTCAAATTTGATATTTCAACTTTGAAGGATTGTAACTCATTGAATATAACTCCAAAAACAACAAAATTATAGTATAAAATCATCTACAAACCCTAAACTATAAGTTGGAAAAAACCGCATGTCAATACAACTTAAAACGAATGAGATATGATTGTTTAAACAATTTCACAGAATACAAATTACAAAAGTTTAAATTTCTTGCTGAAAAACTGAAATATTTCAGCTTTGATATCCTAACTTTGAAAGATTGTAATTTATCGAATATAACACCACAAATAAAAAAATTATAGTCTAAAATCATCTACAAACTCTAAACTACACGTTCGAAAAAACCGAATGTCAATCCGACTTAAAACGAATGAGATATGTTTGTTTAAAGAATTTCACAAAATACAAAAATTTTAATCACGTTCAAAATCGGTTTTTACGCGGAACCGGCCTACATTCGTGGTAACTAATACGAACACAATGATTTAATCACGTGCGGCGAACATCATTGAAACGTTATTTAAGTGTGTTTCGTTATTATTTTTGTTTATTTTGTTTTTTTTTCGTTAAAAGAAAAAAAATCAATTTTTTTAAATAGATATATGCTTGGTTTTAACGTTTTTATCCTTTTTTTTGTTTTTTTTATTTTTTTCGTTTCTTTTTAAAATTATTATTATTAATTTTTTTTTTTTCGTTTTTTCCCGTTTTTATAATATCTTTACTATATACTTGAAGATACTAGTGTTTTTCTTTATTTTTGTTTTGATTTTTAATTTTTAAACTAAATATCGGTTTGAGTTTTTAATATTTAACAATTATAAAATTATTAATAAGAAGAATATTAAGGATCATAATATTTTCGGTTCATACTTTGTTTGAATCATATTATTTTTGGATCACAAAATTTTGAATTAAATTATTTTGAATCGTAGTATTTTGAATCTAATCATTTTTGAATCATATGTTTTTGGATGAATACTATATTCAATTAAATATAGTTTTTGTTTAAAAAAATTATGGATTATTATATACTTTGAATCATTTAATTTTGTATCATAAAAGATATAATTAAGGATTATAAAATATTTGAGTCTAAATATTTTTAGATCATAACAAATTAAGGATCATAAACAAGTTGAATCAAAAGTTTTTTTTTGAATCATAAATATTTTGAATCATCACATTTTGGATTATATCATGTTCATTTTTTTTTAAATTAATATTTCTTAAAATTAAAAATAAATACTTCAAAAACTTATTTTTGAAAAATTCTTTTTACAAAGTCACTACTATATTGAGTAGAAGTATCTCTTAAATTTTTATAATTTTTAAAGAATTTTTTTTCTGAGTTTTTTTATAAAAGAAATAATTTTTTTTTTCAAATTTCCACGATTGTGCTCATATTTTAGAGAAATAATTTTTAAGAACTTTGGTTTTTTCAGATTTTTTTTTCAAATAAAAAAATTTATGGCCAAAAAACGAAGTTGGTGGAAAAAAACCTCACCAAATGAGGGCTTGACATGTGGCAGAAAGAGAAAAGAGGAGTGGGGATGGGAGGGGCGGAATTGACACACACTGCAGGGGAGAATATATATATATATATATATATATATATGATTATAGATCTCTCTCTCTCTCTCTATATATATATATATATACACACAGAGAGAGAGAGAGAGAGGAGAGAGAGAGAGAGAGCGAGAGAGAGAGGAGAGATCGAGGGAGAGAGGAGAGAGGGGTGAGAGAGAGAGAACGAGAGAGAGAGAGAGGAGAGAGAAGAGAGAGAGAGAGAGAGCTATAATCATATGTAATTGAACAATAATGTTGATATTTACTTTGAGGAATAGGGGCTTGACTGTTGTATGTTTCGATTACTCTCCTCCAAAAAAACTACACGGATTGTCGTTAATGTGGATTAGATCCTCTGTTACATCAATCCATGAACGAACGAGCGAGTAACATATCTTCTTCAGGAGACCATACACGAGCCATTTTTAGTGATGATGTTTAGAAGAAGATGAAAAATAAGAAAGTTAAGAGAATTGAATTAAGAAGATTTTAATGGGGTGAAGAATGAATATGGATGATGATATTTATAGTTGAAGATTGAGGCTTTAAAATATGATTTTTTGAAAAAAAAAACGGTTATATTTTTGAAAAGAAGGTATTTTTTTTTGAAAAAAGGAATGTGAGTTAATGGGTAAAAAAAAGAAAATTGTTTCTCTCTCATCGGTGAAATATCACCGAGTTGCCGAGCCGAGCTCGGCATGTCGAAGCCTCGCCTAGTGTTCGCCGGGAATGCCGAATAAGATGCCGAAGACACTCCGAGTGGCCTAATAAATAAAGATCATTTGTTGCCACGTCAAATTCTTAAAAGTTTTGTCACATGTATTTTTGTGGTTTTTTTGAATAAACTTAAATCCACATGTTATTTTGTTGTTGTTTTTTTTAGATTTCATAAATTAAAATGTCATATAATACTAATATTTATATATGTAAAGTATTAAATATGATAATAAATGGATATATATTATATATATATATATATATATATATATATATATATATATATATAAAGTATTAAATCCTAATTAATAAATGAAGGTTTTTTTTGCCGCATGTCAATCTCTCATAAGTTTTGACACTTGTCATTTTGTGAAAATTTTAAAAAATATTATACACTTGTCAATTTTTTGTTTGTTTCCATTTTTAAAATTAAAGTCATATATTTATATATGTAAAGTATTAAATATAATATATATGATATCAAGTTGCAATAAATACCTTTCTTCCTTTCTTATTTTAAAGTTGTATATTAAAAAATATTTTCTGTTTACACTTTAATATTTAATCTTTTTTTTAAATCAACCCGTGTAATACACGGGTCTCAAACGTAGTCTATCGTAATAAATAAATATCATTTGTTGCCATTTGTCAAATTTTCATGAGTTTTGCCACATGTAATTTTATTGGTTTTTTAATAAAATTAAATCAACATGTCATCTTGTTTTTTTTGTTTCTTTTTTAAAATTTTCGTAAATTAAACTGTGATATAATACTAATATATATATATATATATATATATATATATATATATATATATATATATATATATATAAAGTATTAAATATGATAATAAATGGAAAATATTTATATATGTAAAGTATTAAACTTATCTTAAGAAATAATGATCATTTTGTTGTCACTTGTTAAATTCTCAAGAGTTTTGCCACATGTAATTTTGTGTGTGTTTATGTTTTTTAATTTTTTTAATTTTCATAAATTAAAATGTCATATAATACTATTATTTATATATGTAATGTATTAAATATGATAAAAAATGGAAAATATTTACTCTAATAAATAAAAAACTAATTTTTCCGGTTGTCATATTCTCATGTATTTTGATACATATAATTTTATGGTAATTCTTAGACATTAATTTCCACTTGTCATTTTGTGGTAATTTTCGATTTTCTTAATTAACTATTGTAATTCTTAGGTTATAGAAATTAATTAATGTGTCATTAAATTTTTTTCCTTATATTTTTATATTTTAATATGTTTTCTTCAATATATATAATTCAAAATTGGTATATTTCTTTCAAACTTCATTGTCATTTTAGGTCAAAATGGTCTACATGGAAAAAAATAATCAAACTTTGTTGTTTTTCACGACAAAACTAAAAAAAGGTGGTTAAACCACAAATATGATCAAAATATAATTTTTTTTAGTTGTTTAATTAGTATAAATTGAATTATTTATTTATTCATCATTTTATTTGTATTTATTTTGAATTTTAATTTCAAAAATAATTTATATTATACTTTTATATTTAATATTTTCTTTAAAAAAATACTTAATATTTATATCTTTATCTATAACTTTTTTAATCAATCCGTCGCGTATTTTAAAATATGAAAATAGTTATTTTACAATATTACTTATCTTGGTGATTATCCCATTTTTTTCGTGGGCTTCTACTATCGTTGACTATTAAATTATCCCAATAGCTGATTCCTTTGATTTTGCTTTATCTTTTATCCCATCCCGAGATTCGTTCCCTTATATCGGTTAGGTACGTATCTGAGCTATTTGATTTTCTATCAAACTCGAAGATTCTTGGTATGTGAATTCGTTCTGGGTTTTGATAATTTTTCTCTTGTTATTTATCTGGGTCCTATAAAAAATCAATTCTAGTTTAATTCTCAGAGAATAGTTCGTTCAACTTGACTCTGGTAAGCTTTCTGATATGTGGATCTTGCTTGTGGTTTGTTTGTTGAGATGAATTTTTGCAGATATAAATAGGGATTTCGTGTCATCAATTTAGATATTACTCTTCAGAATGGGAATGCATCTTTGAGTGTCAATTTTGGAGTTTTAATTAGTCAAATTGGTGTGTATTTGTGAACATATTAATGCATCTTTGACTTCTGGATTCTGTATATTTTTATGAGAATTTTTGGTTCTTGCTATATGCATATGTGTGTAATAGTCTGCGTGGTTTGATCATTAGTTCGTGTTGTGAACATTTTTCTGAAAAAAGAAGTAGGTTTAGATATTTTTTTTATATGTCAAACGGGCTACTCTTTACTTCTCCCGAATTGTTTTGATCACTCAAAATTTGCTTTAAACATATGTTTATGTGGCTTTTAGTGCAAATCGTTAGTCAAGTTTTAATTAATTATGATGTTTCTTGGATCATTCAAACGATCATGAAATCAGAATCTTTGCTCAATTGTATGTGTTATGTGGTTTGAGGATTATTGTTTCTTCTTATCCATTTGGATCTTCATTCCCTTCCCAGAAGCAAGCTACCCTTGAACTTCTTGGATTGTTAAATCTTGAACTTTTAAATTGACGGAGGTTTCTGCCCAACTTTATGAAAAACCACTCTCTAATTTAATTTGCATAATCAATTTTACTTGAAGTTAAAGTAGGTTCATCCATGTGCTTTTGAGGTGTAGGAATTGCAGCACGTTTAGAGACTAAATTTGGGTGGTTTTTTAATAAACACGGGTGTCTTTTTTCTGGTTCTTTTTCCAAAATAGAGATCTGAAATACAAGTAATTGATCAACAATAACACCATCCTTAAGTTTCAGCCTTTTTTGAAATAAGCTTTTGATTTCTTGAATTTTCCCTTTGTTTAAACTCTTCATTTTCAATTTTAATTGCAGGGAATCAAAGTAATTAAGGTGCAATGGCAGTTACTACAAAACAAATGTCATTGATTGTGGGAGCCCTTGGCGCTTTGTCCTTCATATTTGGTGTTATTGCTGAAAACAAGAAGGTATTATTCTTCGTTTGCATAGTTTACTATGTTTATAAAATCTCAATAAGCCATTAGCATAAAACAAGGAAAAACTATATATATATATATCTATATATATATATATCTATATTTATATTTATATATATATATATATATTCCTTTTAGGGTTTAATGCAAGAAACAACAATGTACTTCCATGACATTTATGATGAAAATTTCTTTATGCAGCCTGCATCTGGAACTCCAATAACAGGGAAAGACGTAGTTATCTGCAAGTATCCAGCGGACCCCACAGTTGCCTTGGGGTATTTGTCCTTTGGTTTCTGTTGCCCTCAACTTTGGCTGGAGGGTTATCTCTATTTTACCCTTACAAAGGGAAGTCAATCCCATGGCCTGCATTGTTCCAAAGCACAAGTTTCTTTGTGTTTTTCCTTATAGCTTTGTAAGTAGACATCACCCTAATCTTACACCTTACTTTCACATTAAAAATTAAAACCATTAATCAAATAGCAACGTTTTGTGACATGTGCACAGGGGTTCAACTGGATTGGCAGCTACAATGCTGTTGTGGCCCACGATAACAGAACACAAACACCTTGTGAGTAATGTCCATTATAACCTTGAAACAACCTGTCCTACAGCCAAAACCGGGTTGCTTGGTGGTGGTGCTTTTTTAGCTCTTGATTCGGCTCTTTTCTGGTTGGTTTCACTTATGTTGGCTGATAATGCAAGGGAAGACTACTTTGATGATGTTAAAGGAGGTGATGATGCTGATGCAGTCATTAAGGGCAGTGCTTAAAACTTAAAAATAGTTGCTTTATTCTGTTTAAATGTGTTTCCATCAAGTGGAGTTTAAATGCAAGTAAAAGGTGGTCTAAATTGAACACTGTAAATGATTATCTATTGGTGAAAAATATGTCTGGGTTTTAAAGTTTGTGGTTTTTTATGTTAGTTTGTTCTAATAGGCATTGGTCAGCCGCTAAAGATACCGACTAGCCACACTTGAATCCGTATGGAGTTTTGAGGCCCATCTTAAACGGACGTAAATCTTTCAATGGGCCTCCCCATTGTCCATGTAAGGTTGTCCCTAAAAATTTCGCTGTTTAGGCCTCCCAATTTCAGCTTCCTCCCAATTTGGTCAATTTCCAAAATAAAAAGATTCGTTTTAAATGAAAATTTGGTCATAAATTCTAAATTTAGCTTCCCCTATATGAAGAGTTTTTTATGAGCTTTTTAGAGACTCCTTTGAATTGGATAAAATTCTCCCTTTCGTATGCAAAACTATCGCTAGTGGTATGCAAAACTATCAGGTGCTTTATAGTCTGATTGTTATCATCACTCTCCTAATGACTTTCCACTTTTTCTTAAGAAATTCAACAATTCCATGGTCATTGTTGCTATCTATGTTGATGATATATTGGTCACTAGAGATAATATGGAAGAAATTTCAAGTTCAAAGTGCTTTCTCAATGATCAATTTCCTATTAAAGATTTAGGATACATCAACTATTTCTTAGGCTGGAGTCCAATTATGTTAACAATGGAATGATCATTCACCAAAACAAGTTTATAAAGGAGTTACTTGCAATGTCTTATATGGATGCTTGTGTGTCTGTTACCACAACCACACCTCTCCCATCCGAATTATGATTACTCCCTATCATGAATAATCCTTTGAGTGTTCCAACTTTGTATAGGCAACTCGTTGGCAGGTTAAACCTTTCTTGTTCATACTAGCAGGCCTGATTTTTCTTATTCCATACGATACTTAAGTTTGCCAATAATGACCCCTCTCAAGCCCATTATGATTAAACTATTCATGTTCTTCAATATCTTAAAGGAACTATGACTCAAGGACTGTATTTTGACAAAGATGCCATTTACAATATTAACGCATATTGTGAATTCTAATTTGGCTGGATGCACCATAACAAGATGATCAGTTAATGGGTTCCTTATTTTTTTTGGGAATAGCCCTAATATTTCATGGAAGTCAAAAACTCAAATCATTGTTTCATATCTTTAACCGAAGCTGAAAAATACAGATCTGTAAGACGTTTATGTGCTTAATTAGCTTGGCTAGGTAGGCTTCTTGCTGAACTTCAATTACCAGATGTTACACCCATTCCCCTTAAATGCGATAACTTAACAACCATTTACATTGCTTCCGACCCTTATTTTTCATGAGCGGACAAAACACATCGAGTCTGATTGTCACTTTTTGTTTAGGAAAAACTTCAAAGTGGTCTCATTTGTTTGTCACATGTATCTGTTGATCAGCAGTTGGCAGATGTTATTACTAAATTTTTCAATGGTCCTCTACATACATGGAGAAGTAGAAGAGGGGGGGGGGGGGGGGGTGTTAGTCTTAACTAATATACTTTTGTCACATGCTTAATTTAGTTTTTTGTTAGAGAAGTTAGAAAATTATTCAAGTTAATTATAATGTCATCTTCTTGTTAGCAAGCATGTGTATATATTATTTTGTCTTTTGTAATCATTTTTTGCAAATTAATGAAGAAATGAAATTCCTCTCAATCATCACATCTTTCTTTCAAGTCTTGAATAACAACATATTGCTAGCACTGGTTATGGGCATTTGCATCCTTAAGAGGAATGGATCATATTCAAAAATAAAATACATTAATAGAAGTTGATCATATTCAAATATAAAATATTAAAATACTTCATAAGACTGATAGATTCCGCTGATTGGTTACGTAGATAAAAAGAAAGATCCATGATGACCATATAACACACGTTGAGGGAGGTTTATTATAGCAATGGGCTCATTCCCAAAGTTCTTAGCATCAACAACTAGTACCTGTGACCACAAACCAAAAACACATGTAAAGAGACAACTCGTTACATTTGGGTGTTTATGTAATAGAGGGTGTTTAATGGTACATACATAAGAAGTGTCACTGTCTTCGTCATGAGCAAATGTAACAACCCAACCATCATCTTCCTCTACAACGTTTGGCTTGGCCACAAATGTAGATCCTGTGCAAAAGTTGTTTTTGGTAACCAATGATACTCCATCTTTACATTTCCTTCACTATCCGTTTCTTCAAAGTATAATTTTGGTAGTCCTCCATATTTAGATTTCCCTGAAACATATTTTGAATACTTTTTTAGGAACCCGAAACATACTTTGAATACTTGTTAATTGCAAGAGAATCGTGAATTAGTTACCTCCAAGATCCTACTCAAAACAGTAACCGGAGAGTTGTGGAAGAGGTTCATCATCGAAAACTTTGGAATCATCCAAGTATCGGTGTTGTGAATAAGATGGATGTCGTGAACGACACTCAATCAACTGATTTTACCTTGGTTGTCGACTTAGGCACCTTGCCTATGCAGATGACTTTAGGTGAAGTTGGTGAATCAAGTGTGGTTGGTAGGAGGAATGTTTCTCCTACTATAAACGATGACAATTTCATTAACGATGACGATGACGATGGCGATGACAGTGGTGATACGTACTCTTCAGATGAAGAAATAAATAATGAAAACTATGACAATGATGATGATGTTGTACATATATATTGTTCTAGTGATGATTCTGATTGACGGTATGTTACAGTTATTATATATCCTGATTGCTTACAATATTTGTTAAATTTTCAAATGTTGCTTATTTATAAGTAGTTTTATTAAATATTTTGAATGTTTATTATATTTGTTAAACAGATGGCAGAAGTCGCGAGGGGACATGGAGGAGACGGTGAGGATATACCTCCACACGGGGTCGCACGTGGTGTACCATTCGGTTGTCAGTCTTGTAAGTTACATGAAATTCTTAAGTATTAGATATATTTTTTAAGTTTTAAATTTCTAAATTTCCAATTCTATATGTAAATCTAGCAAAAGCGAAGAATGTGAATGTACGTGGCAAAGGGAGAAACTTAAATTTGTACGATGAGTACGAAGATAACAGTTGTAAACCTTTGGTCGTGAGACTTGATACCTCCGAGCGGACATATCGCTTCATGGGGGACAACGGACAATTGTTTGTCAACTTAATCTCAAATCTGGTGGGATCAGAGCTACCGTTGCATTATCATACTTGGCGCCGTGTTCCTACCAGGTACAAAGATAATTTATATCCCGAGCTAGAAGTAAGTATACAATATATTTTATATGTATTGAATTTTACACTTATTAAATATTTTTTTACTAATCAAATATGTTTTTCTTTTTGCAGACTTATTTTGATCTTGATAGGTATCCGGGGCACATACTTGTGGACCCGTTCGAGCGGGTATCCAAGCAGATATGCAAAGAGCTTATCGAGAGCGCAAGTATCAGATGAAAAAAATATTTTGACAGAGTTGGTGGATATCAGGATGTGAAAAGGGCAAGAAGACATCCACCGACTGATTGGACCGCCGAACCTTGGAATAATATCATTGATTTGTTGTTTTTAACCGATGAATATAAATGTACGTCAGCCAAAAATAAAGTTACTAGGTCGACACTTCCGCACACAAGTGCTCACAGATGTAGGTCCTTTGCTCAACGGCGTTATTTAGAGGTAACAAAATATATTAGTATTATTTAAAATTGTTATTAACACTTGTATAAATAGATTTATTGTTTTTGACTTATTATAGGAACAAATGGGAATGAAGCCACATCATATTGAGGGTTGGAGACAAATGCGCTACAAATAAGGTTCGGGTTGGTGTACAAGTCGAGCACAACAAGATTGGGTAAGTGATAAACGAAATGAACGCGTTGTTTAAATATGTTATTATTATTAATTATAGTTTTTTGTTTGAGGTATATTATTATTATTATTATTATTTTAATGTTTAAATTTAGTTATTTGTTTTAATTATCGTATGTTTATTGTTTTCTTTATTTTAGGAGAAAATTCAAGACGAATATAAGAAAATGCAAAGCGAGGTCGGGGAAGGCAGAGAAGTAGATGAGGAAGAATGTCTAGTATGTGTCCTTGGGACGAGACGCGGGCATGCCCACGGAGTGGGTGGGAGACCAACCGCCAACTTCGGTTTAAATCCAATTGAACGACCTTCCACTTCCAAATCTTCCCAATCTCAATCGAAATCTCAATCCCAATTTGATGCACAACAAATGCAAGAATACTTGCAACAATATGATGCATCATTGACGGCATGTATGTTAGAAAATAGGGGATGAATAGATTGCTTGGATTCTCTGAAAGTCGTGATTCACTATCAAATTGAAGTATTTCGATGGTACAGATCGAACACTCAATTGGATGAAATTCAGAGAATGAAATCTGAGAATGTATGTGTAAATGTTCTTCAAGATGTACCAGAAAAATGACCAAAAAACGGATATATCATTCCTGTCTGAAAACTGTCAATAGACAGTTACAAACTGTCATAAAACTACCAAACCTGTCATTAAACGGATCTCAGGGAAAAAAGGGTCAACTTTCTAAAATTAGATTTTCACGCTGACCTGGCAGCTCGATCCCAGCCAGGGGCTGCCGCCCCTGGGACCCCACTCATAGGGGCGCTGCCCCCGGACCTCCGTTCGTTTAGGGGCTTCGCACCTAAATAACAATGTACTTTGAATCTTGAAAAACTTGAACAAGTGTGCACTCCTACACCATCCTAACTTGTTCAATATTCAACAATATCACTTTTGGTCAACAAATTTAATCCTATTACACTTAAATAATATTGATGATATCAAATCACCAACAAACCTCCCCCATTTAAGTGTAATCCTGATTAAACTTAAAACAAAACATAAACAACAACAAACTGATGCATAAATGAAATGTCGTGACAATTGAATTTCATATTAGTATATTACTCAATCCAAATATTCGAATATCAGGGTGTCACTAAGGATTGAACCCTTTCTATTCAAAGTGAATACATGAAGATAATACACACACCAGTTTACATTCTCATAATTTCTAACTTGACCTATATTTTTA